TCCCAGACAGCCATGGCGCCATTGACGGGCACCTGAGAGAGGTTGGACTTACCTTCCACCTGCTCAAGGATGTGCCCGGGCTCATCTCAAAGAACATCGAGAAGAGCCTGGTGGAGGCATTCCAGCCTCTGGGCATCTCCGACTGGAACTCAATTTTCTGGATCGCCCACCCTGGTGGTCCAGCCATCCTAGACCAAGTGGAAGAAAAGCTGGCCCTTAAGCCCGAGAAGCTAAGCGCCACACGACACATCCTGAGCGAGTATGGAAACATGTCAAGTGCTTGTGTGCTGTTCATATTGGATGAGATGCGGAAGAAGTCGATTGAGGATGGCCTCAAGACCACTGGAGAAGGGCTCGAGTGGGGTGTGCTGTTTGGGTTTGGACCAGGGCTCACCGTTGAGACTGTGGTGCTTCACAGTATCGCTGCCTAGAGAGAGATGCATGGAGGCTCCAAAATCTCTCTTAACCAAATGAATGGTTAAATTTGCATTTTCTTCTTGTTTTCCTCCCTCTCAAGTGAATTGAGATGTGGGTTGGTTGTGTTTGATCTGGTCTTGTAATTGTAGTATGCCAATGTGTCCTACCGACAAAGACATCGATCAGAGAATGTATTACTTTATATTTAATAATACATATGGTCACCACGTTCTTTGGCTATACACAAGTGACCCACCCTGACCCAGTGGATTACTTTGCGAGTAGTGTTTTTTTTTTTTTTGGTTTYTAAGAGCAATAATTGCTCTTGCACAGAAATATGTGTTACTATTGATGCCAAACACCCTTTAGAGAGGATAGTGGAGTAGCTGGAGTTAGGAGTTGTACATGTAAGTTTGAGATGTTTGGAGTATGCAGAAGTATATAATTGGCAAAGGTTTAAATCCACATACCTCATTTGATCTTCTGACAAAACTGTATTGAACAGTTTGGGAAGACTGCAAATACAAACATGTACGGTGCAAAACCATTTATACAGTATTTCTAAACCTGCTATTTGCACTGTGCATATTTGTATTTGCACATTAAATGTTTTATGTAAAGAACAAATGAGTCCAAATCTGTTATAAACAGGATGTGTGACAGTTCCTAGGACACCAGCAAATCAGAAACAAACATGTCAACTGATTGTTACAAGATGTTTTAGTGAGGTATTGGTGTATCCCAACCATTTGTTAGGGCTCTGAGAAAACCATCTCATACGGAGTTCGGCTTCAGTCAGGCAAAGCCCAATCGAGCAGCCTTAACTGCCTTGCATTGAGAATATCACCGTATTTGTATGTTTTATTTCATGAAGAGATATTTTCGATGTAAGGTTGCAAAAGGCTGTTAGAACGGTATGGGCACATATTTGCCCTGATAGAAGCGGATCTCTCTCATACGCATAATTTGATATATTGGGAGAGTGGCTTGCAACCCTCCAGGCCTCCCCCCCACCCCCCCTTTCAGCCGGCCCTATATATGGGATATATGTTAGACATGTTGTATGCAATTAAGCCTTTTATTTGTTAGACGTACAAGTCTGAACTGTTTTTGATAAAAACTTTGAGATTCAATTTGTCATATGTGTATGTACTAAGGGGATTAGGTCCCATGTCACTGCAAATCAGCCCCCCACAAGACTGCCCCCCATAATGTCCCACAGCACATCCCCATCATGTATTGGGAAGATCTCCCAATGATAATATCAGGAATGATGATATCATCATCGGGAGATGTTCTCAATATATGGCGGGGGGGGACTGTGGGGGATTGGGGGGGGGGGGCTGATTCAGTCTCATCAGCAGTCCTCTCCTCCCATTTCTCATTCCCCTTCTTTTTTTCTCCCTTTAAACCTTTCTCCTTTCTTCCTTATCCCTTTCAACCCTTCCATGTAGCCACATGGCAGCCCTCTCCTCTTCACTAGTCTCACTCTAACTCCCTCTTTCTCATTCATGTTCCTAATCACTTGGCCCCAATCCCTCCCAAAATTTCTCCTAAGCTATCTCTCCCACCTAAAATATCTCCAAAAACACCTCTTAATCAATCTATATACCCAATCTAGCCATGTGGCACCATTATCCCCTTTTTTCTCCTAAATTATTTCTAACTCCTATTTATCTTCTCCTCCACTTTTCATCTTATATCTACTACTCCAGAGGAAGTAGCCTTGAAGAATGTTAATGGAACAATGACATCATGGACTATGGAAAATAAGGAGTTTAGGAATACTCATCGTTCTGTGCTATTAATGATTGAGTTGGAATGATTTGGTAATCATTGGCTAAATAACATTATAGTGGTCCCACTCTATCTTTAATAAAAACCTTATCTATTTATTGGGAAAATTAAAAACAAAAGTTTGCCTAAAAGCAGTCTTTTACTAGACTATTCAATCTTCATGTGATAATTTGGTCTCATGGAACTTACTTTAAGTGTGCAATATTAAAAAGCTTTTTCTTCGAGAAACCCCCAATAGAGATCTTCTCTGTCAATCCCTAAAACATACACAACAGCCAGGAAAATTAATAAGTATTTTCATTTTTCACTAATAAAAAATACTTTCGTCCTATTATGGAATTGCTATTACCACTCCCCTTTTTGTTTGAAATTGGCTCCCCTTTAATTTTGCTGAATATCTTGGGACCAAAATAACCTAAAAAATTCATGTTCCGAGATCTTTTTTTATTAATACCCGAAAATATCCAATTAAAAAAAAACTATTAGAATGAAGGACATATCTTGGTGAATGGAATAGTAAGATCTTAGATTAACAAATGAGCACAAGTTTAGGTCTTAGACCAGCCACTTCAATAACAATCAAATTCCCCTATTGGCTGACCTTTGGGTCCATTGAGCTAAACAAACTATGGAGGAATTAATCACTGAAAGGTATGAATCAATGCTAATGGCTGGGATGTAAAGGTACATTTGGGTGTGGAGTGTGGAAAGGTATTCATAAACAATGGTTTAAACTTCAATTCAGTGGTTCACAAGTTGAGAAGTAGACTTGGTTCCAGTTGTATTTTTGGAGATTCTAGTGGAGGCAAGATATGGAAAATTGGTTGGTTTTGGACACTTCAACTTGAAGTCTTGAACTCAAGCATTCTTGATTAAAATATTCAGGGGGCATATGGAAATGCAAGGTATTATAACCTCAAGAGTCAAGATGTAACATATTTCAATAAGACAGATTATCAAACATTTCAACCATTATAAGACAATAAACTACTTGATTGCTTATTCAATAAAAGATAAAATAATAAATTATTCAACTCATCCATTTAAGCCATTATCAAACAACACCTTTGTAGGATCCTAGGTCCAACTCCAATAGGAGAGAAGAGAGAATGTGAATTGAAATGGATGCAGGACAACTTAGTACAAATATCTAAACTAGAAAATTAGAAAGAAATAATAAACCATAAACCATAAACTACTTGAGAAGTAAAATGAAGAAACATAGAAGAGAAGAAATAGCTGGATGAAGGAGACTGCATCTAGCTATGAATATAGTTATAAATAAATGGTTGTGATTATTCCCATATCTATCAATAGCTTGTTCACCCATGCTTGTAATTGGTATAATACGTAGTGATCCAAACAAAAACAGACTGTGATGATTCCAACCAAGCCACACAAGTCAAAGTTCAGCCATGCAAAGGTGCTTATTCAATATAAAGTAACCAACGAATAGACTGCAAAGTGAAGAAAAACACCCAAGAGAAAATCAGATAACATCAAGCAAATAYAGGTAAAGATTTTACATGCTTAACATTAAGTTAAAATTTTTGTCTTCAAATAAATCCATTCATATACATAAAAATTAAGTGAAGAACAGAAGCACTTGTATAATACCAACTGCATGAATATAGTTATAAATCAATGGCAGTAGATGAGAGATTACCACTCCAAAAAAACAACCAAAAATATTGTGATTGAATGGCTCTTCCGAAGAATTGTCATAGGATCCTCTGTAGGAGACCTCACTTCAGATTCACGTGTACTCCTGATTGAGAGTATTCCAGCCGATGATACCACCAGATCAAAAGAGTGAACAACAAGAGGAAACAAGATAAATCCAGATGGATCTGCAAGGGCAAAACATTATCACCAACTGAAATAGAGATAAAGCAGAAAGATATTTGTGAAGCAAGGGGCACTTGGAAATTAATTTTTCTGGGCTGTTTTGTCATATGATAAATAGGGGGAGATGTACTCTACGCTCTCCATTGTTTGTTTTATCCATTGTACATTCTGTTTATAATTAATGAATGAATGAAAATTGGTGTTTATCTAGAAAAAAAAATCATTCTAATAAAATAGTTGCTTTATTAAAAACAAATAGATACTTTTTTGATAAATAAGTGTATATTATCTTTATAAGTAAATAACAGTGTAGATTTCATTCATAACATAACCATACTACCCAAAAAATCTGGGTTTCATTCATAATGGTAAGAAGCCCAAAGGCAGCGAAAACCTGTGAGATAAGCATACCTCAAATTTGTTTCGTGATAAATGCATGAACAAAATAAATTAAAAACAAGAAAATTTGTTTCCAAGACGAGATAAACATACCTCAAATTAGCAAAATTGGTGATTTAAGAAGGAGATCAATAGTGCCTCAATTGCAAAAGTGGAGGTTCTTCCAAGATCTAGTAGAGCTGTTACAATTTTTTTTCTCTAACATCAAAGGAATGTAATTTTTGCTCTTCTCTAATATACTCTTCCGACATCTAGGTTGATAGTGCCTCTCAAAAACCCTAGCGTCAATTGCATGTGGTTTGCTCTTCTCTACTCTGTGTGTTTGTTGTTAAGGTTTAAGGTCTTTGGAAGGTTAGGGACTTCAATGATTCAAGTTTGGCACCAAACAAAGTGAAAAAGAAAATTGTAGGTGATTTGCTCTTCACTACTCTATGCTTTTATTGTTAAGGTTCAAGTATTCTAAAGGTTAGGGACTTCCCCTTGGTTTCTGGTTTCTATGGATAAATAGGCAAATTGCTTGTACTTTCGAACCTAGGGCGCTTGACAAAAGGGTTCATGGAAAACAAATCTTCACTTTGTCCAATAGTTCTATGGGTTCCCAAAACATTCTGATGGTAGAGAGCTTCAGTCAGCCGCTTCACACCAGCAACAATTGGGTCAACAACAGCCCCGACATCAACACCATGCCACGTTGCCTGGGAAAACAAAGGAGGTGTCATTACGGCTTTACCGATTCCACCGGAAATCCTACTGGTAGAGAAGCCTCCCGCCCCGCCAATTCCACCAGGATACAAAACTCACAAGCAATGTCCGCTCCTCTCTAATCCCCAATTGGGTGTCTCACAAAATGGCAGAACCCTACAGAACTTTTAAAAGAGACCGTAGTCTAACCTGGGATTTGATTAAAAGCATACAAAAATATCAAAACCAGAAAACCCAAATCCAAAATGCACTAATGTCTCTTCAATAGCGGTGTTGAAGAAAAACAAAGTGATACCCAAAGAAAAAAACAGAGAGAACAAAGATAAAACAAACCTCTATGAAAATACCAAATAATATTTATAGTGGAAAAAAGAAAAACAAAAAACATACCAAGAAAATGCGCGGCTCTAGTTCCTCCAACGAAATAGGTTTTGAATAACACTTCAATAGCGGTCTTCTGGAATTGTTTGAACGAGAACACCAAATGTCATAGACG